AAAAAAAAAAAAAAAAAAAAAAAAAAAAAAAAAAGCGATTCCGTCTTTACCAAATTGAGAAACCAGATAAGATCCATAAATGAAAAGTGAACATTTCTTCATGAAGAAAACGAAAACGAAAAGGAGGCGACCGGAAACTTACGTCAAAGCGTTCAATCTGCAAGAACGAAGAGAAACAGAGAGCGGATGATCGAAAACAGCAAAAAAAAAAAAAAAACCGACGAGAAAATCGTGGAATTGTTGAAATGGTAAAGATTTATGATCAGCTCATCCTGATTCGACTGACGCCATTCATATACGCGATCGGAGGAAGCTTCAAGTGGTGATGGATCAAATCAATTAAAACTTCATGAATTTGATTATCTCAAAGCTAACCCCATATTGTGTCAAAAAGTAAATTTATGGATGCAACTATCCGTAGGTGTTCTTCATTGAATTTATGATATAGTGGTAAATTTCTGGTGGCTCAAAAGTTCCAAGGAGTTTCAAATGAAGCTTATATAGACTTTATGTAGATAGCATTTTAGTGGCTCCCATGAGTTAATAACTTTTATGGAATTTAATTATCATCCGGATTGCTCGTAATACTTATTTAAATAAATAAAATTTAAAATTGTTGTAGTCGTCGATCTTATGTAAGGTATAGGGTCGATGACGTGGTGAGTGGCGTGAACCAGCATTTAAGTGCACGATTTTCGGGTAGTGATGGTGGGATTAGGTGAGCGATGGTTAAATTGAATGGATGAGAGTTGGAAGATAACAGCTCGAACTTATGAAGGAAAACGATGTTGGAGTTGAGATAAATCCACGTCCATTGAAGTTTCTTCTTGTTTAGATTCTCGAGCAACCAAGACCCATTTAGAGTGAGGTTGAAGGGTTCCGTTCGTGGAGACAAGTTTGAGTTTTGTTGAACCAATTTGGGTAGAGGAGCTCGAGATGGTGGAAATCGAATTCGAGCTTCTAGGGTAAGTCACGGGTTAGTTCATTTACTCATTTCTGAATAATTTGGCTTGATTGTTGTCTCCATAGTTTCGTTATGAGCAGTTTTACAAACGTCGAGGGTTGAGAATGCTTGCAAAAGGAGATCGGTTTGAGGATCGAAGGTAACAGTTCTAGGTATCCCTGAATGTTCAAATGTCTATATCTCTTATAATACTCGATGGAATTGCATGATTCTTTACCCAATAAGTTCGTCTTGAGGAGCACTACAACGTTGTCGGAGGGGCCATAAGCAATTGGGGTCACGGTTGGGAAAGCCAAACGAGGTAAGAGGAAAAATAGAAGACGACGCACATGCAAGCGAAGGATTGCTAGAGATAAAGGGATGACGAGTCTTGTTCAATCAAACCGATTTTCCAAGTTTCACGTGCTTTGACCGTTTTGAACTCGAATTTCAATCCGGTTTCGATTACTGATATTTTCAATAAATTTAGGACTTATTGAAGGAGTTTAAAGAAATTAAAACACGTTAAGAACCTAAACTAACCATCAAAGTACCGATCAAACGAAGTAAGTAGTACCTCAAAATTAGGGGTATGCATGGTCCGGGTCGGGTTGGGTTGAGAGATTTTTTTGACCCAAACCAAAAGTTCGGGTTAGTTGGATTGGTAACCCAACCCAACCCTCTATTCAGTTTGGGTTGGTCCGAATTGTCGGGTTGAATGTACACCCCTACTCAAAATTCATATTAATAGGAGAGCGTTAACTAATTTTTTCTTATTTTATATTCTTTGAATGAAAATTGAAATTCTCCCTTAATTAATCAAATACAATAATTAATAAATCCATGCATTTTTATTTTATTTTATTGGATTTTTTTTTTTAATTTAAAAAATGGGCCAAAACCAATTGGGCCTTTTATTTCAAATTTCCCTTTCGTAAACCCTAATCACTCTGTTCGTCAGCATCTTCTTCCATTGTTCGTGTCGTGGCGGTTGATTTCTACAGAACTTTCTCTGATAGACTTGAAAAGTTCGTTGTGCATTTGAATCAGAAACTATGGCTGAGGAAGGGGAATTGATGAGAGGTACGAAGAGGAGTAAAAAGATCGGTTCTAGGAACAAGAAAAGACCGAGGATGATGGGTGGAAGTGGAAACAAAGTTAAGATTGATAGGAAAATGCAGAAACTTTTTCGAAAACGAGCGCGGGAGTATAATTCAGATGATGAAGATGATGACACAAATACTGCAGCGGCTCCAGCGGTTGGAGATGAGAGCAAAGTTTCAGAGCACAATCGCGAGGAGGTTGAAGATGAAGAGTTTTCTGAGGGTGAAGAAGAGGAAGGGAACGATGTGAATTCGGATGCGGGGCTTTCCGAAGACGATGAGAGTGGTGTAATGCAACCGGGTATAACTAAGTTTATTGAAGGCTGTAGAGCATTCAGAGCTGCTTTCAGGAGTATTCTTAAGAAGAGCATATCTGATGAAACTCTGGTAGTTTATACATCTTACGTGTGTTGGAGTTGTTTTCAATGGTAGTAATGAAGGATTAATCCGCCATGTTTTTGTTGCAGGGTCCTATATTATCAGCAAACAAGAAGCTTGTTGCTGAAAAGCTTGCAGAAGAGGAAGCTGAGCGGAAGGTCAAAGGAGAGGCCAAGAAGGAGAAACAATTGGTATTTCCTATTATGTTTGTTGTATGATTTAGCTTGCTT